CGATCCCCAGGGGCTACTCGAGCTCTCCTGGAATGTCAGCTATCCCGAACAAGTCGTGTATTTCCAGCTCCTTGTCCAGAACCTGCAGTTCGGGCTCCTCTTTGGGATGTCGGACAGGGGTGAGTTCGAGAATGCGGACCTGGCCGTGCTCTGGAGCAACGGGCACAATTCCTATTTTGGGGTGAGTCCTTTGCATGTTTGCACGACAGCTTTTGGGGTTGCCTCCCTGCGGGTGAATCTGGCTCATGGGTTGAAAGAGCGGGGCTGGTCCAGGGCACGGCGCACACCGGCAGGCTTCCGCTGCTCAGGGGGAAGGAGTCCAAAAGGGCTTGGGGGCTTCTACCCCAGTTCTACCCAAAGGGACCCACAGATCAGGTCTACACTATGGGTTTTGCAGAGGACCTTAAATGCAAAGAGACGATCGTAAATACAGCAGCAGATCAGCAAGGCTGAGTGGGACCAGAACTTGGATGCCTTTGCTGTGCTTAGCTGCAAAGAGCTCCAACAGGCGGTTGCACAGCCCAGCTCACACTCACACACGTAGGACACATCAGCACCTTGGTTCACTTGTGCACTGCTGTCAGTCACGTTAAAAATTAACCAGAGCTCCCGCTAATGACTTTGAGACAGTGCAAAAGTTACCAGCCAGGAAGGCTGCTCCTGCCAGCACCAATAACCCAGCCGTGGGTCGCGTTCGACGGCATCGCAGAGATCAACAGGGCACAGGAAAACACAACCTGACGGCTGCCTGCCAGCGGCACGGCGATATCAGAAATTAAACATGCAAATGGATTTGGGCAGTATGTAAAAGCCTGGTGGTGGCAGATGGGGAGGGGAATTTGTTTCTAATTTTGCGGTTTGATATCGCTACTGCAAATCGCTGTCCCTTCTAACACGGTCTGTTGGTCCGGGTTCTTGTTTGGTTTGTCTTCCCACGGGGGCTGCAGTTACAGCAGCTACCCCCGTGCTCTCCAGCAGTGACCTACCCCCAGCCCACCACGTCGGGCTTATTGCAATTGCGCTTGGCTGCAGAAAGCAATTCACGTTTTTTCCCCTTGTGAGGCTTTCCACTAAGTTAAATTTTACCTCTCTGCTTACTTCAAATTAACCATAAAATACATTCTTCCACAATCAGCCGCAGTGTGATCCGCAGCGTAACGAAAGGATGAAAAGAAGGGCTTATTATCTGTACTGTTTTCCTGCTAATTCCCAGCCATTCAGGGTGTGTGGTGGCCCGAATGCTACAGTATTTCACAGCATCATGTTAAAAAAAATCATAAAGGATCATTTCTAATCTGCCTTCTTGTACTCACTGAAAGACAAACAGTGCTGAATTAAACACCGGGCAGCATTTGGGCTTTCTCTTTCAGTTGGTGCTGAACAGCATCCTGCAAGGAGAGTTCTATAAATCTCTCCAGTCCTGGTTTTCTCTCTCCCAGCAGCCTTTCTTCTAGATAAGTATGTCAGCTGTTAAAAAGATCCAAATTTGCTTAACCCCCCATGTACTATGAGATTAATTTGCACACCATATTCCTATGAAAACAAATGTCATGCTAGCTTCGTGTAGCTGATTTTACTCTCCCCCTCTAAGGACAATATGTTCTCGAAATATCACTCTATACTTCTGGCTGAAATGATGCCAAGATGCTTTATTCTTTTTCCTCTGTTTTTTCCCCCAAGATAAGAGAACCGATGCCACTTGTGTACGTACAGTGAGGTACTTCTTAGGTCCCTTTTCTCAGTAAACAAAAGATATCAATGGGAGATGCAACAGATCAAGACAACAACGCTGTTCAAATCCGAATTATTGCAGGATTTTATACTCCAAACCTTGAAATCCTTAAGCGCAAGAGTAACCTACTGCGTTGCTTCTTGGTGCGGCTTTGTCACCATCGTCAACAACGAACAGCTTTTGGGAGGACTTGCTGGGCTGCCAAAACAACCTGGCCACAACAAATTAAGGATTTTGAAGAGGGGTAGCAATTTCTAGGGCTGACACTACAGCCTAGCAAGGGTCTGATCATAAATTGAGAGCAGCGGGCTTGTGGCATGGGTCTTGGAGAGAACATCAGCCCCTCCAGAAGGTCCCCCCCTGCCAAATACACCGAAAACACAGCACAAACAAATGCAACACCTTCATGTGTCCCCACGTCCTTTCCCCCCATCACATCTCAACTTGTAAGGGTCTTTCTGCAGACTATTAATGCTGGGTCTTGGATTTCACAGGTCTGCCTGTTCCGAGCACCAAGGGGCTCGTGGCAGGGGCCGTGCCGGCACAGCTTTGCCTGTGGGCTACTAGAGGAGGGGCATGGGGCAACCAAAACACAGGCTCCTTCCACCTCTGGGATGTGGAGGGTGAACCGGCCAGAAGGTGAACAGAAGGAGGACCTCACGACCCACGGTACTGCTGGAGGTCACTGCCGTGGGCTCCTTGGGCTGAGCAGGGCCAGCGGAGCCTCCTGGCTTAGCGGGGTCTCTTCCTTCCACAGGACGCCTGGAGTGATGCCAAGGGGCATCTCCACATGGACTCACAGCAGGACTACCAGCTCCTCAGGTCTCAGAGGACTCCTGAGGGGCTCTACCTCCTCTTCAGAAGAGCCTTCAGCACCTGTGACCCCAAGGACTACCTTATAGAGGTACGGCATTGCCCTCACCCCCCTATAGCAACCCCCAGCCCCATCCCAGCCCTGGGGCAGAGCTCCAAACCCCATCCTGCGTGGTTATACCTGCTTCGTTTGAGGGACAGCATCAGGTGTTTGTGCTGTCTAAGGCAGAGAGGAAGTGTGCTACAGATGTCAGTCCTGGGACATGAGTAATGTTTGGCACAAGCTATTTACAACCCCTTATAAACCTCTATAAAGTGTAAATTTTAGCTCGTTTGCATCATCCAGTCCTATTAAGCATGTGTTAGGTCTATATAAATACCCTCCTGCATCACTCTGGTGTGCAGTCTGGAGCCAAATGTTTGGAGTGCTACAAAGAGGTGTTGGTGTTGTTCAACGGGAGGCAAAGAGGAGGG